GGATCTAATATTGTTTACATTGCAGGCTGTCACAAGCACAAGATTTTTAGATGAACTGTCCCTTTATATAAAATCAATGCAGCACTAATTAGTGTTTAAACTGCAGATACTAATAGTTGTGTTGGATTTCAGACCCATTAATATCCCCATAAATGTCCCTAAAGTCAACATATTCTAATGCAGTTCTCCAAAGATGTCCATAGATACAAACTGGCAACAGCAACTGCAGTACAACACCAGAAATGGGTCATAACGCCATCATTTGCTAGAGCGTTGTGACCTTTGTGTGCTTTAACTGGAAATATTGCTGCGCTTGAAGATTTTGAGGATTCCAACTAGTTCCTGAGCTTGCAAATTGTAGCCTAATGCACCAAAAAACTGACATGACACAAATTTGGACAATTGCTCTTAGATGATAAGGTACTCGTTTAGACTACATTGGGCTCTCACTTCTGTCTTCCTCTCTCATGCAGCTTCACTCAATTGTCTCTTCCCTGTATCACTCTGTCTCTCTCAGACATCACACGTACTCTCCTGAACAGTGTGGATTTCATGCTCCCTCTCTTTCTGTCCCTATATAACCCTTCAGCTCTGCCTCTGTAATGGTCTCCTTCCCACCATCACCCTCTTCCTCTCAGCCCCTCCTACAGTTAATGAGCTCATCCCTGTGGTTGCCGTAGTCACCTAACAACACGTCTGAGAAGCCAGTGGAGGCACAGCTGGGGAAGGACCTGAACAGAAAACACGGGAACAAACAAAGCACGGCGTAGATGTTGATGATGTCATCACAGAGCCAGTCTGAGCACGAAGGGCCATGTTGACAACAACCTCCGTCCTCCAGCCCGCGATGACTCATTCCAGCGCTTTACCAGAAGAACGGATGGACGTTATATAAAGCTCGGCATCAGGTTTTAAAGTGTGGTGTGCAGGCGGGAAATGCTGGATGTTCGTGATGAATATGAACAACTAACACTTTTTGAAACCTAACATAGATGAACTGGCCCTATACTCTAGAAATAACAGCCCCTTAACATGGGATAAAGCGCTTTGAGCTCAAAACTATCATAACATATAGGATTGATACATATTTTCTCATATGCAGTATTGGTCAGGAAAAACCTTAACATGTAGTGAGGTTAAAAGAAGAAACCTGGGTATTATGATTTGCTGTAATACTCCAAAGCCAGGGTTTTAGAAACCATCACATTTATAACCCGTTTAAAACGTAGAATATCCCAACAGTAGCAAATTATCTCTGATTGTCCCCATAAAAGTGAACAGCAGGTTCATGCTGTTAGGATGATTTTAAACATTTATTTTGAGAGTAGGCATCATTGTGAAATGTACTGATGGCTGCTATCTGGTAAAGCTGCAGTTGGGCCTGCAACCAATCATTATTTTCATTGGCAATTAATCTACCGGGAATTTTCTGGCAAATTGTTGAGTGTATAAATGGCAAATAATGTTGAGAAAATGTCATTACGTAACATTAGCTCAGCAGTTAAAAAGGAGAGACAGAGCTGTCAACAGAAACCATTTAGATGATATCCGATTCCTTCAGCTTTAAATCATTATATAAGATTAACATCAGCGTGTCATCATTACCATTAGTGGAGAACTTTTTTTAATACGGGGACATCCTTCAAATGTAATTTAGCTACCTACACAAATCTATATCAAAATATGTACAATGTATTTTCACAGCTTTACTTTGCCGTCAGATATTGGTTTCCAACAACCAACTAAAACCACCATTTACTCTCTTCAAAGCCACTAGACTCCTTTGACAAAACAGTCTGTTGACCTCTCAGGAGAAGGAAACACGTTTTTCCAAAGGGCCAACATCTATTGTAAGTTCACTGACGATGGATAATTACCTCATAAAATGCAGACTATCCCTTTAAGCTCTTGGATCAGACAACTATAACATTAGCAGTACACACACACAACACACAGTTTCTCTCACAGAATTGAAAACAGGACTACCTGCCACCTTTCCACTTTACATTTCCCTAAGCAAACACACTTTCTCATTGTTTTACCGCCAATCCTCTAGGTTAGTTGTAACAGTCAGCAGTCAGAAACGGCAGCAGACACCTGATAGACTGACAACAAAACTAATAAACACCTCGAAGAAAAAATAAAGGCACATCCCCTCGCAGCTGGATGTTATGGCTGCGTCATTCTAAGAGGTCACAGTACAATGAGAAACACTGCATGGTTGAGCAAGCCTGGAAAATTAGCCGATTCAAATGGGAGTAGATTTATTTTTGATGCCAATACTTCAAATAAAAATAGCTCTCAAATTCCTTACTGTAAAAATGAGTGGAGGCTGTTTACTTCTCCTCACTGAAATGCTCTCACTTTACTGTTTACACAGTGAAGTGATGATGGAACAGTCACTGATTTTAGAAACAAGGTAGGATGGCGACATCTGTGCATTTCTCTAATCCCCTTGTCCAATACTGAGAATAACAATTTCCCCAAAACATTTAAACAGACTTAATCTTGCATCTGTCAAACTGTAAAAAACATTGAGTAATGCCCTATATGCCTAACAGTGGACCAAGGGAATATTACATTTTGACCACTTCTTGCCGTTCTTGGTAACATTCAACAGTTTGAATTTATTTGGTTGGTTTATTGCTTGTCTTTCAAATAACCTATTTTTTCCCTGCAATAAATGTCTACATCATTTGCCAAGCAACTGTGTGTGATTTTGAAATGTGACGGTTGGCTTTTATCAACAGAAACCCTTTGATTGTTCAGCACCAATAATGAGTCAGTTGTCGTTATAAATTATATAACATTATCCCTGATTTGGCAGATCACATGCGAAAAGAACAAACATGAGCCATTTCAACTGAAAGGGAAAGAGCAGGAGTGCCTGCCTTAGCGAGGAAAGCCAAGTCTATACCCAGAGGAATTGTTGGTAACGGGTTTGACAGGAGGGTTAACATCGCTGTGATCAAAATCACTTCCATCTTTAACGGATTGGGCTCCGTTGGGCTGCTGATCAAGGTATGTTTAGAAGTAAAACATAGCAGGTCATCCCAGTATAATGGGGATGTCGTTAAATAATATTTCTTAAGGCACCCAGAAGAAAGTGAATACAGACTAGGTGACAGCTTTACAAAGAAAAAAAACTATCTGTAACATACACTAAATACTTTTCGAACAATTGGCCCACACGGAGTGTGAAGACCTATCAGAGGTCTATGACTGTACTGGTGAACATGTGCAATAAATTACAGCAAATTAACAATCTGGCAATATGCAAGACATGAAATGATACTTTAAACTCAACATACATGCTGTTATAGGATCTCTGTTTGTAGAATAATCAAAGTAAAGTGTTATTTTCCTTGAATAACCTCATTGATGTCATCTCCACTAATTTTTAGGGATACATCCATTTGCTCTTCTCATACTTTAAATGTAGGGCTAATATACTACCAGTACATTTTTTAATTGATATATCTCACTGCACGGAACTCATTGGAATAATGTTCCTGTAAGGTAACTTGAGGACACGGATTGCTGCGTTACCGCAAACTGTGTCCTGAATGACTGACTGGAAGAATATAATTCATTAAGGATATCAACAATCATTTTAGAATAACATTGACACATAAACTGTGTGTTATGTGGATTGGTCAAGTCCTGGTGAAAACCCAATCCATTAATCTAGACTGTGTAAGCACCAGTACCAATCAAACGTATAAGACAATAGTATTGTGCAGTGTGCACTATACACAACATAGGTCTTGTGTTAATTCTCCATAACGCAATAAGATACATTATTTAGGGCTTACATATAAGGCACTCAGGTCTGATGGGGACATGCAAGCACAACATCATGGAAAGATAACCGTGATTTAGATTTTTTTTATTGTATTATCCCAATAATAAATATAGGCTACACGATATAGGCCTATCACTGTGTATGCAATGACTGTAAGATGACACATTGATGGAATAAGCTAGAAACAAGGAAGTACGAGCGGGAATGTCCCTGTGTGAACTTTTTCACTGGGGTGGTTGACTGTTTATGCTTTTGGAATTATGGATATGTTTTATCCTGATCCTGACATGTATGCATCATTCTTCTCATGCAGTGCAGGACAACATTAAGGTTTCAACACAGTGAAATAGAATAACCACTATCCCTTCAAAGCTTTTACAGGGTGCACTGAGGACACATTTACGTGTGAGACCCACTGCCTGCAGTCCGAGACGCTGGGTCCGAATAAGTTGATGTTCTGCATAAAAACAACCACGCCTGACTTTTTACAGCAGTTACAGGCCTGCTGCACAGACAGGATACAAGTCCATGCTACAGCAGTGTGTCCGTCTGCCGTGGTCTCGGAGGGGAGGGGGCATCACCAGGGGTAACGTTCCGCCTACATCACAGAGTCGCACAAATCAAAGTCTATAAACAACGTCGGACTCCAAAAGTTGCTGTGAAACGTCAGTGGCGCTGAATGTGAGCAGGTACACCAGGGCGGTGCGCAGTTTACCGGCCGTTTCCCCCGGCCTGCCCGAAATGTGACAGTGGGGCGCAGAAAAACACTCTCCCCAAATGTTCCCCCTCTCGCCACCGACGTAACAACATGTCGGCAAAGGACGGCCATGTTTTGCTGGTTATGTCGACACGGGGAGGAGGAAAAGTAGACACGATGTTTCTCTTCTCTGCCTTCTCGCGCGGCGGCTACAACATATCAAAGTGAAACTTAAACACGGGGGAGAAAACGTCCAATTAACAACTTGGCGGACACATTGTCTCAGCACGCAGGTGTAAACGACACAAGCAGGCAAAGTTCATGCGGCGAGACAAGTTACAGTATTTAGACAGAGGCGTGTGGGTGTTTGTGAGCCACGCAGGGGCAGAGCAAACCACGCGAGGGGCACAAAAACAACTACGTGCAGTGTTAACTTGAGGGACTTTTGAGGGTAAGGGGGGCGTAGGAAAACAGAGGAAGAGTTTATACATTTCTTACCTGCCCACCGTTTTGGCGCGATGCTCAGGTAGTGCGGTACAATCCCAAAGCGACTGCTATAGCGAGAAATAACCCCAATCTGCTTTAAACTGTCTCACGGCTGTCCAATAACCGAGCAGACAACAGGCGACAGGAAAGAAAAAATTGGCGATCACAAGGAGGATCTACGCCAAAAGCCACATGATCGCCGACGTCAGAGTACGTATTTGCATGCCGTACCCGAGCGCCGGTGCCCGTCCATAGCGGGTCCATAGTGTTATTGCCGGGAAAAGTTCAGAAACAGGCGGAGGAAAGTAAAGCAACTCTCTGTCTAGAAGGCAGGAGGACAGCAGTGGCTTCTTAAAGCATGCATGCTGGTTTAAAAATGAATGAGCTGTGCCTTGTTGTCGTCAACTTGTCACTATGTGCTGATGCCTGCCTGCCCCTTTGCTCGGAGCTAATTGAATATTAAAGTACCAGAGGGGGTGTGTCTTACTCCACAAGCCCCTCCCCCTCCCTTTTCACACCGCCCACTCCTCTTTCTCTATATGTGCATGTGCAGTTGCTGCAGTGCTTTCCTCAGAAAGCTGGTCTGCAGTGGGGAAACTGCATGCTTCCCTGCCTTTCATCACACACAGAAAACACACTCACATCTGGATCCTCAAAGGTTAGTCTGAGGTCAGCTTGATACTCACAGTTTGCATTGCTGAGACAAAGTGCCCTGAGGTGACACAGACAGACTCAAACGCAACAGTGACCTCCACTGGATCCTCTCGAGAATTTCTCCTGACCTTGGCCCGTCACATTCTATATGTAGCTGGAGCTTTATACAGTCTATGAGCTGGAGTCATGTAGAACATTTGTACTGCAGTGATGCCTCTATTCACCACTCTTTGTCGCATAAGAAGGAAAAATATGAGATCACAATGCCAGTTTTAACAAAGTGAATCTGGACTTGAAAGGTATTTATTGTTTTGCTCAGGTACACTTCATGGGATAGCATTTGCTGACTTGGGCCTGATATTGCTGTCCTTGGTTTGCACAGTCTTTATTTAGCCCTTAGAAAATAAGCAGACGCATCAACACTGCTTTGCATAAACAGGTTTGAATAGAACAACTTAAAGGTACCAAATATATCACTCAGCTTCCGAGGTATTCTGGAGTTGCAGGACACATCGTGTGAATTGTGTCATTTGGCCAAGCTCTTTGAATCAACCCCATCCTGTAGGAGTCAGCATCAAGACAAAAAACAATTGTTGGCACTGTAAACCTTTTCAGTTTCTTTACATTCCCCTTTGTCTCCCTCCCACAAAGCCACACAGACAAGCAAGTTTAGTTAATTTGACCAAAAATAGACAAAAAGCACAATAATCAAAGTTAAAGATGAATTAGACTGAAAGCATTGTTTATTTATTTATCTATTTTTTAACTTATTCATCTATTTATTTAATATTTGATGTCTCTTTTTTATTTATTTTTATTTCATTTTACAGTCTATACATATTCAAATACACACACATACAGTACCAGTCAAACGTTTGGACACACCTTCTCATTCAATGGTTTTTGTTTCTACTTTGTAGATTAATACTGAAGACATCAAAACTATGAAAGAACACATATGGAATTATCTAGTAAACAAAAAAGTGTTAAAAAATCTAGAATATGATTTTTATTTTAGGTTCTTCAAAGTAGCCCCCTTTTGCCTTGATGACAGCTTTGCACACTCTTGGCTTCTCTCAGTCAGCGTCATGAGGTCGTCACCTGGAATGGTTTTTAATTAACACGTGTGCCTTGTCAATTTGTGGGATTACTTGCCTTCTGAATGTGTTTGAGACCATCAGTTATGTTGTGCAGAGGTAGGGTTAGTGCACAGTGGATAGCTCTATTTGACTGCTGTTGTAATCCATATTATGGCAAGAACGCTCAATTTAGTGAAGAGAAACGACCGTCCATCATCACTTTAAGAAATGAAGGCCAGTTCTTCCGGAAAATGTCAAGAACTTTGAATGTATCCTCAAATGCAGTCGCAAAAAACATTGAATGCTATGATGAAACTGGCTCTCATGAGGACCCCCCGGGAAAGGAAGAGCAAGAGTTAGCTCTGCTGCAGAGGATAAATACACACGAATTACCAGCCTCAGAAACCGCACATTAAAGCACCTCAGATTAGAGCCCACATCAACTATCACAGGGCTCAAGTAGCAGACACATCTCATTATCCACTGTTCAGAGGAGACTGCGTGAATCAGGCCTTCATGGTCCAATTGCTGCATAGATCCACTACTGAGGATGAATAACAACAAGAAGATAATTGTTTGGGCCAAGAAACACAAGGAAGGGACATTAGACAGGGAAAACTGTACTTTGGTCTGATGAGTCCAATTGAGAGATTTTTGTTTCCAACCTCTGTGTCTTTGTGAGACACAGAGAAGGTGAGTGGATGGTTTCTGCATGTGTGGTTCCCACCGTGAAGCATGGAGGAGGAAGTGTGATGGTGCGGGGCGGCTTTGCTGGTGACACTGTTGTTGATTTATTCAGAATTCAAGACACACTTAACCAGCATGGCTACCACAGCATTCTGCAGTAGCCAGCAAAATACAAATCATATTCTGTATTTTGTAACACTTTTTTGTTTACTAGTTAATTCCATATGTGTTATTTTATACTTTTGATGTCTTCAGTATACATTTACAATGTAGCAAAAATTAAAATAAATAAAAAACTTCGAATGAGAATGTGTGTCCAAACGTTTGACTGGTAGTGTATGGTATAATACAGAGTCTGCACAGATTGTCAGAATATCACCTAAGCTTTAACATAATAAAGATAATTGAGATTTCACACATGCAAAAGGTAAGGCAGATTTCATTTATACATGTGTTCCCTACCATCAGAACGTGAAAATAATATTTAAGTGTTTTTTGTGCAAGAGCAACATCTTATCTTTATATAATATCAGCCATGACTTATTTAGTAGCTTGTTCCGTTTCTGATTAATCCAATGTAATGAAACTGTCCCTGATGCCATAAGTCAAACTGTGTTGTTGATATTCTGCCTGAGTTTAATAATCTGCTCTCAGACCTGAACATTGAGACAAATTCCCGCGGCTAGATGAAAACAAGCATAAATGGAAGGCTGATAAATTGCCTGTCTCTAACAATACCACAGAGGGGAACTGCTGCATTAGAGCACAAGATCAAGAGCAGTTTATTTCTCCAGCCTCATGAAAGGCTGCTTTACCTCAAGATGGTTTTACACGTCCAGTATTGAGCTCTGGAAAGACAAAGATATGAAAGAATAAAGAAATTCGGCCCCCTTTCACATTGGCTTTATTGTTAATCCTAACACTTTAAAGGAAGAAAGTGCATCAGCTTTAGTCAAAAAGACATGTATTGATTAGAGTTACGATGTCTACGTTTCTTCCTTTTTCTTTTACAGCACTCTAAAGTATGTATTGATGCAGACGACCCTTCATATTCTTTAAGACAATGTGAAATGACATGGCATTTGGTGAACTTCCAAGGTTTAAATAGGCTAAACAGGTTAAGATATGAGCAAAAAGTCAACGATACAAGCTTATTCAAATAACATAGGAGAGAAGTGAGCTATGACTCCCAATGTGCAGTTTGCCAACATCACTGAGCTGTAGGGGTGTAACGGTATCCGTATTCGTCCCGTACCGTCACGGTTCGGACGTCACGGTTCGGAAAAGTCATTCAGGGCAGTATCCACTACACTATTTATAATCCAGGGGGCGGTATTGCGCCTACAAGCTGTTTGTCAGCCGCCCTTAAACAACAAATGAAGAACAAGAAGAAACACAACAACAAAACGAACAAAATACAAGAAGAAGAAAAGTTAGTATGGCGATTTCAGATAACACACAGGAGCTAGAACCCACCTGCTTCTTTTAAATGAGCTGTGTGGGAACATTTCGGGTTCTGATCCCTGCTGTTTTAGAAGCCAAGAGACATGAAAGCCGAGAGACCAAAATAAATAACGGAAGCTTTTGGCATATGTTTTTCAACGGCTTTGCGCTCTTGAAACACTCTTATTATTTATGATGTAATATTTTCAAGACATTCTTTTTAGTTTTACAGCTTGATGAAACCTTTTTGTTTGACATCAGCCATTATAGATAATATGGCCATCTGAGTGTGTGTGGTACTGTTTGTGGTTTGTTTTTAACTGTTTAATACAGTTAATTATTCAAAATGTCAGAGTTCCTTATTTTTAAACTGAAACTTGCACTACTGTTCAAACATAAATAACAACAAACCTGGAATTATGCATTTGGGACTTTTTTTTGCCTTTTCTTGTTGTACCGAACCGTGACCCCCAAACCGAGGTACAAACCGAACCGTGACTTCTGTGAACCGTTACACCCCTACTGAGCTGTTTTGTACACAACGTTTACAGTCAGGCAAAGCTTGTGATTCAAACTTTATGCTTTGTGGAGACCAGATTATAAATTCAGCACCATAAATCCATTCAATAGATAATGGGTCAATTTGGGTGACAAAGATGGGTCACCATAGAGAAAATAACGTGTGTTCTATTAAGCACCAACCATAACATTTCAATATAAAATCTGAAATATACTGTACATACAGTATGCATATAATATAGAATAATACATCTACAATGGTGACACCTCTTTCCCTAAAATAAAAATCGCATCCTAACTAGAAGTTGATAAAAGTAGATTATTTCCATCACAGATGAAGGGAAGGAAGAATGACATTTATTAAGGTGCTCTACATAAGGCTACATTCATTTGTGTTACTGTACTGTTTCCCTCAATCCCATTTCAATTCATATTGTCCCAGAGAATGCAACAGCACACTTTAATCTTATGGTCAAGTCTGTATATCTGTATCAATGTGATAAAACAACAGGTCACTAGATGGTGCCACATGGCTGTACAACCACTCCTGTGTGAAATCCCTCAACTTCCCATCTGTGGCTGAACAGGTCTGGCGTTATGCCTGTTTTATGTATTCAGGATGAAAGTGATACCAACTTTCAGTATAACTAATAATAAATGAACCGACTTATAATGGGTGTCACTGAGGTTTTCATATAATTGACAGAATATCTTTACGAAAAAGTGTTTTAACCATTTTGTTTGCTTTGGTGGAAGAAATAGCACTTTCTTTACTCACCTCTTACTTTACATAATTATTACTGAAGGGACTGGAAATCTAACTTAGGGTACAAGGCCTGGAAGTGAGGAGGGGAGGGGCGAGAGACAGAGACGAGGGGAGGTACATTGAATTGAAGAAAATATATTAAAGTACATTTATTAGAAATTGAAATGAATTAATTAGAGGAGAATGTGTCACAATAGTTCATTGGGAGTTCAGGAAGTTGAGTTGGCTCATGATGGATAACGTGCATATGAACACACAGGGAATACCATACTTGGCCATCTC